GTGGCCTTATGTATTAGGTGTCCTATGGGACCCAGTGATGCATTCTCCTTGATCTCCTGAGCTGGTTGCTCTAGGAATGTCACATGTGTGGTTCATGTGGGCCTTTCTGTTGTAATTTGCTTTTGGTTACTTTTGGCCCATTCATTGGTGGGATCAACCTTCAGACTGGCTGACAGACTCAACCCTGATCATAGCATGCAAGGTGCTATGCAGGTGCAGTCTTGATGTGTCTTGTTTTACTCAGTGGCACAATCTTTCAAATCACTTGAGTTCCATGTTCCTAGGATGTTCTTGTGGGTTCTGTGCACCCCCAGTTATAGTTGTGTCTTGAATGCTGTTGGCTCTTTCGTGGGTGGAGTTAACCATTCAGGATGGGTGGCTATAAGAGTAAACCTTGCTCATTGTGTATGAAATGCTGTGCAGGGCTTTCCCCATCACAAAGTTGTTCCCAGCAGGGTTTGGTGCCTGCCAGAATCCTCCTTTGTGTGTGTCATTTGTGTGGATAGTTGTGTCTGATGTAGTCTGAAACTCATTACTGGTTGTGTTGGTTCTTGGTCAATTTGGGTGGCATTTGGGTACAGGTTGCTGTCACACTTTGTGTATAACCAGCTTTGGCCTATCTGTCTGTAGCTGCCATGCTGTTCACTATTTGCATCTACTGAACCTGAATGTGCATTGGAGGGATCAATCAGTATAAAAGGATCAGCTTCTTCCAGTATGGAACTGAGGGCAGATCTGTAAAAGGAATGAGGTTTCCCGAGGTCCACCTCCACCTGAGAACTACTCTGCCTACCACAGGGGGTGCCTGGTCTTTCCCCAGAGCTTTCTGAAGAGAACTGTTAAATGAGCCCATCCTAATTGAAATAGGGTTTTAGGGCCCCCTACGTGGTGATCATACAGTTAGAAACTCAATGTGCAAAAAGTGGCCCCTGCTTCAAAGCCAAACCCTTCCATCTCTACCAGTATCTCCAACTCTAGTTCTCTCTAGGGGGGCTCAGTGCAGGTCAGTTTGGGTAAAGCTAGCTGTCCCCTCTTCAGGAGCAAGCTCAGTTGCCCTGGGCTCAGGGCCATAGATCAAAAGAGTCTCCCATTGCTCATGATGCCAGCCCTGTCCACAGGAGGGGGCTAAGCATTTTGTTCTGGTCTTTGACAATAGCCTCTGATGATCTCATACTTTGAATGTCTCCTCTCTAACCTGCTCTTCCCCCACACCCCTCACCCCCATGGAACTGTTCCCATTGCGGGTATCTGGGACTTGTCAGGGCTGATCCAAAAAGTCTCCTGTTGGGGGTGGTGCCAGCAAATGTAGTCACACAGCCCAGCACTTGCCCCTTGCCCATCTGGTTCCCATACAGAAGTTTCCTTGGGAGACACGGTACAAAAATCACAGCTCTATGCAGCTCCCTGGCCCCTCTGTGCCACCAAACTTGGCAGGATGGGGCCAAAGGTCGGCTGTGTGGTGCTCTGATCTCTCCATGTGACTGCTCTCAGAAGAGCAGAGCCCAAAGTCCCAGAAGCTCTGCAATGGCTCCAACCCCATCAGGACAGGGTTGAAAGTCCAGGTTCCCTGCGCTGCCAAACAGGGCAAGGCAGGCTGAGCAGCTCAATTGGTGAAGGGACAGGCACCAGTTAGTGCTCAGAAGTGGGAGACCAACCCTCTCTCCCAGTTCACACAGTTTACTCACCTATGTCTCTTCCAAAAGCCTCCCCCCAAAATAGAGAGCCTCTTTAAGTCACTGCTGGGTGTGACCAGCAGACCCCATTGTAGGACCTGAGTATCACAGCATGGCATCACCAGCAGTTGGAGTCTGTTTGGAGCAAACACCCCAGGCTGGTGCTGAACCTTTAGGAGTGCTCTTTTCCTAAGAGGGTGTGATCTGAACCTCCCAGGCAGTCTAAATCCTCATTGATTCCTGTGCAGGCTTCTCTTCCCAGTTGTGTTGCTCTGGGTTGGGAATCCCTATGTGGGGTTGAGACCTAGCTCCTATGGGGAGGAAGTTCCACAGTCACAGTATCCTTCTGGCCTCTCAGCCATGGCCACACCTGTGTGATGGGGCTGTCATTTATACACCTTCTTACCAGGCCTCCATGTGGCTTCTGTGCTCCTTGGTTATAGTATTTCAGATCAGCTAGCCTTCAATAGGCTTTTCAGGTTGATTGCTCTGTAATGTAGCTCTGCAGCCATCTTGAAATACTTTTTATGTCCTTAAAAATTAATCATTACTATTTTTATTATCTTTTCAGTCAATGTTTATTTGTATCCACCCACATGTTTACAAAAGTTTTTATTCATCATTGCTTCTTACATTCTATTTCTTCCTTCTAAGTTTAGTTTTCTTTCTGTAAACTTACTTTCTTTGATCTGTCAGTTTATTTTCTCAGTCTCTTCTGCATATGGCTTTATTTTACTCTCATTCTTGTATATTAGTTTAGCTGAATATAGAATTCAAGATTCAGGATTTTTCCCTATTATAATTTTAAACGTAATTGTCTTATTGAGAAGTCTGTTCTCATTGTAATTGTAATTCTTTATAAGTCTATCCTGTCATTGGTTCCTTTTAAGGTATTCTCTTTTTCTTCGTGTGTAGTCTCACTATTATATGTCTAGGTATGGATCTTTTGGGGAGGAATGTCTTGGTTAGGTTGCACTATTTCAGTTAGAGTATCCATGCCTTTTATGAATCTGGAAAATACTCAGGTGTTATTTCTTTGAATATTACTGCCTCCACATTTACTCTACTGTTTCCTTTAACTTTTAAAATACACTCTTTGAATCTTCTAGCCCAAATGTTTATTAATATTTTATCATAGTTTCCATTTGTTTATCTCTCTGTTCTTTGATCTGCCTTTTAGTTTGTTCTTCCCTTTATTCATCTGTTCTTTGATGCATTCATTAATTTTTCATTTTTTTCCTCTTTCTAGAAGTCCTACTTGATTCTTTTTCACATGTGTCTTATTAATTTTTCTTTAATGTCTTTACAACTTTTAAGCATATTTTCCTATGCCTTCTAAAATATTTTGTTCAATATTTTGAAGTTCTAGAACTCTGATCCTGCTATGTGCTGTTACTCTGACTCTCACTACTTGACTGTAATCTCTTTAAAAAGAACGTTGTTTCTTCTATAGACTCCTATTATGGCCAGGGATTTGGGTGGGCTTCTACAAAGGGACAAACTTTATGTTGAAGTTTAGAATTTGGATGGGTAGTGTAAAGTCTAACTTTAAAATTGAGTGAACTCAGACCTAAGATTTCAGTTTCTTACAGAAGACATTTTTCTCCGTATCCAGAGACTAGGTCAAGATAAATTTTTGTTCATATCTCTGTGAGGTTGAGTGGATTTTTCCCCTCAGAGCCTCCTCTCAAGGGCCCCAAATCATGTACAGGTCTCAGTTCCAACTCTCCATTAATTCTACATCTTGTCTCCTATACTTGCTTGAATGTTGAAATATGTCATTCACTGTTAGTGGCTCTTTCAACCCCCAACTCTTAGCTTTAGGCTTTTATTTGCTTCCTGCTCTGGCTTTGTTTTCTCTTTGTTTTCAGCATGTGAGAATTTTTCTTTCTTCCTTAAAAGTTCATCTATGAATTACATATATTCATTTGGTTATTTGACAGATGCATGACTCCCCCATAGTCTGAAAGTTTTGTCAGAGCAGAGACCGTTTTGCTTACCATTGGATATGCATTTAAGCACATTGACTGGAGGTGATTTAAAGAATGAGTGAAGCCCTAACCGGTTTGGCTCACTGGATAGAGTGTTGGCCTGCAGATGGAAGGGTCCCAGGTTCGATTGATTCTGGTTGCAGGCTCCTCCCCCGCCCAGACCCTGGTCAGGGCTCCTGCAGGAGACAACCAATCAATGTGTTTCTTTCACATTGATATTTCTCTTTGTCTTTTTCTCTCTCTTCCACTCCCTCTAAAAATCAATGGAAAAATATCCTTGGTGAAGATTAAAAAATAATAATACTTTAAAAAAAAAGAATGAGTGAGAAATACAGTGAGTGAGAAGGAAGGGAGGGAGAAAGGTAGAAGTGAATTGTGACCAAATAATTTTTTCCAGGAGCAATATTTTAGTGCTTTGTACTTTTAAAAGGAGTTGTAAAAGTAGAAAAGTGTCTTTATTTGCCTCTCAGTTCTGTTATCTTCACATAATAGCAAATGCTTCTTTGTAGATGGTAGTGTATTTAAGACATTTTTTTTCTGAAAAAGGAGGGATTACCTTGAATGTTTGAAAGCATTTATATAACTTGAATCTCATTTATATAACTTGAATACCGTTTTTAAAACATACCCTTATTTCTCATAATGTGGATTTATTCTTAATTTATACTTGCCCAGAGTCTTTTTCCCTAAGGTAAGTGCTAGAGAATGATCAATCCTCATTTTATTATATTACTAGAGGTCCAGTGCATGAAACTCATGCACTGGTAGGGTCCCTAGCAGCTGCTGGTTGCTGGCCAGAGCCTCCTTCCCTCCCCTGGCCAGCCCTGCCTCCTGGTCAAGCTCCCGGATGAACTCCTGGTCGAGGGGACAATTTGCATACATACACTTTTATTATATAGGATGATCAATATCAACATATATTTTAAGAATTGGAAAATGAGTATTATGAGTGAAATAGTAGCTGTTTCATTTGTCACTTTATTGTTAAAGACAACAATAATATTTATATTATAGAATAATAGAAACTGTGGCAAACAGACAGAACTATAGACCAAACATGTATATATCTCAACCAGCTTTGGGGCTGAGACTTTTAAGTGGGAAAAGTTGTTTTCCAAATATGTTAACCACCTTACTCATGGGCTTTGTGTATAGAAACTTGAAACCCAAATGTGTGTGTCATAGTGTTTTGTACATATATTACTACCTATAGCATCTAAAGTTCCTTATAATGTAAGTGTACTATCATTACTAGTAAAAGATTTGCCCCATTTTGTGCTCGATGTTGTAGTTTTTTTCCAAGTTAAAAACTATAATAATAATTTTGTCTTTGTAGCACTTAAATGCAGAAAGGGCTTACAAGGCCCAGATTTGTACGTTGCATAAATCTCTTGTGAAGATGGAAGAGGAGCTTCAGAAGGTTCAGTTTGAAAAGGTGTCTGCCCTTGCAGACTTGTCTTCCACAAGGGAACTTTGTATTAAACTTGACTCAAGCAAGGAACTTCTTAATAGGCAGCTGATTGCTAAAGATCAAGAAATTGAAATGGTATGTAATGCATTTAAAATGTTTTATTTTTTTCATATTTCTAGTATATAAAATTACTACAGGATTAGAAAAAAGTTGTTTAATATTATATCAAGCCTGTCTCTCACCTTTAGATTTCTTTTTTAAGTCCCAGAGATTAATTTGACAGCTATATTCCAACAATTCAAGTAAGTAACATAACTCTTCCTCTGAGCATTTAATTTATATTTACTTTTGTCTAGGTCCTAGGAGAATTATAAAACATCTTTACATGCCTATCAGTAAAGAACCATGAGGTTGAGGTCCATCCAGCTAAATTATAACTTTAATGACATTCTTTTAGCTAAATTTACTTACTAATTGGGTTCTTTTAAACTGTAACTCAGTTGATTATATCCACCGTGTGCCTGACATTGTGTTTGCCACTGTGACTATAATGTTCAAAAGATACAGGCCGCTGCTCTCACGGACCTTTCAGTATTGGCATTGGGATGAATGTTCTACTAAGAAATACGGTTTAGAGAGGGAGATCCTATTCAGTCTGTGGGTGTCGGGAGGGAGTGGACATACTAATGAGCACAGAAGAGATGAGGTGTTTCATTCAGAGGGAACAACAACATAGGGAATGAATGGAGGTAAAAGCGATTTCTTGCTTGAATAGTAAGTAATTTTCAATGGCCAGTGTAGCATGCATGGGTGAAAATGGCTGGAGATGCATCTAGAGAGAGAGATGGAACTCAGATCCTAAAGTATATGTATACAAGTTGCATAGTGTAACTGAAGAATTAACAAATTTGATCATGTGTACATTTCTGTTAGTTTCAAATCCTATTGAAATTTTAGTTTTCTTAGTCTACTGTTTGTTAGGAGAATATGTTGCATTTGAGAATCATGTAGCTAGCTGGTTTCTGTAAGAATTTACTGTTTATATTTTATGAATGAAGTATATGCCATTATTGTCAGACTCTTTAATTATTTTTTTATTTCAGCAAGAACATTTTAATGATGAAAGTAACTCATAGATACTCACTGTAACAATTTAAATAATACGTCCTTAATTTTTTCTTTAAAAAAACGTTTTAGTTGGTGTTTTCAAATTGGAAAAATAATACATGTAATAATTGAAACATTTGTTATTTGTAGTTTTGTTTTTTCTTTTCTTTTTTTTTATAATAGCTATCCTCATAGTTGTTAAGTGGTCAGGCTAATGCAGCTTTTAATATTCTCTCTTTATCTTTCACTTTTGCCATTTTAATTAGGATGTGTCTTGATGTGGGTTTCCTTGGGTCCATATTGTTTGGGACTCTCTGTACTTCCTGGACTTGTGTGTCTTTTTCCTCTCCAGTTCGGAAGTTTTTGTCATTATTTCTTCGAATAAGCTATTGATCCCTTGCTCTCTCCCTTCTATGTCTGGTACCCCTATGATGCAGATGCTGTTACATTTCATGTTGTCCCAAAGGTCCCTTAAACTATCCTAATGTTTTAAATTCTTTTTTCTTTTTGCTGCTCTGATTGGGTGTGTGTTTTTTCTACCTTGTCTTCCAAATTGCTGATTCAGTCCTCTGATTCATCCAACCTATTGTTTATTCTTTCCAGTGTATTCTTCATTTCAGATACTGTATTCTTCATTCCTGATTGGTCCTTTTTATGATTTCTATGTTCTTTTTCATGATTTTGAGCATTCTTATAACCATTACTTTGAACTCTATATCTGATAAATTACTTGCCTCTATTTCATTTAGCTCTTTTCTTTTGGAGATTTTTCCTGTTTTTTTTTTATTTGAGGCATATTTCTTTGTTTTCCTATTTTGGCTGCCCCTTTTGTTTGTTTCTATGTATTAGATAGAGCTGCTATGTCTCCCAGTCTTTGTGGGATGGCCTTGTGTAGTAGGTGGCCTGTGGAACCCAGTGGTGCAGTCTCTTGGCCACCTAAGCTGTGTGCTCCTAGAATGTGCCTTGTGTGGTTATGTGGCCCTAATGTTATAATTGAGTCTTGGTTGCTATTGACCTACGGGGTGGGATCGACCCCCAGGTTGGCTGACTGTGAGGCTCAACCCTGACCATAGCATGCAATCTGCTGTACAGGTGCTGACCACAGGAAGCAGAATTTGCCTAAGCAGGGTTTGGTGCCTGCCAAGATCTCCCTTTTGATATGCTGCTTATAAAGCTCATTGCATTCTGCTCTGATGTTGTCTAAAGCTGGCCACTGTGTTTGTTGGTTCTGGGCCTCTTGGGAGGAAGTTGATGCAGGCTAATGTCATACGCTGCCTGTGACTGGCTTATGGAAACCTGTCTGTAGCTATAAGTGTTCCACGGTTTATGGCTGCCTCTGCTGCACCTGTGTGCATGGGAAGACTAAGCTGCGTACCAAGGTTTATTTTGACCAGCACCGAGCCTGAGAGCAGGTCAGCAAAATCCCAACGCACCATTACAAGACCATGACAAGATCCAGCCTGCCTCTGCCTGCCAGCTTCCTATTAGACTCAGTCACTGAAAGGGCCTCTGTCTATACTCCTCAGGAAGGCATGAGGTTTAAAGGGTGGGGTGAGAGGGAGTCCAGAGGGCAGGGCTATTGCTGTCCCTTAGGCTGATGCTGCATGAGGGGAGTGAACCACCCAAGAAAGATGGCATCTGCTATGGGTGAATGACTCAATACAAGGATCCTGAAAGCTCCTTCCCCAGAGCCACAAAACCTAGACTCTACTCATGAGACTCTAGTCCATTCCACCCTCCCTCCACAGAAGCCCCAGTTGAGTGGCTGTGAATGAAATTTTGTGAGTTGGCTCTTTAAAAGGGTTCCTGTGTCTGTAGTGGACTTGCCCCTCTCTGTGGCTAAGAGAATCCCTGCTGCTTTTCACAGCCAGGTGCTATGTGGGTGCCACTTTTTGCCTCTGGTGCTTTGGGCTGGGGAGCCTAGCTTAGGGTTTAGAAACCACACTTCTCATGGGGAATCTCCTGCAGCTGACATATCCCTCTGGAACCTCAGCAACTACCTGTAGGAGTAGGGTCAGCTCTTCTTGCATCTCTGCCCTTCCTATTAGTCTTGCTGTGGCTTCTTCTGTAAATCCTTGGTTGTAAAACTCTTCAGCTAGTCTTCAGTTGTTTATTCAGGTTGTTTTTTTAATAATTTAGTAGTAATTCAAGTTTTGTCTTGGGAGGAGATGAGTGTATCATCCACCTACACAACCACCATTTTGGATCAACAGCCTTCATTTTCTTTGTTTGTTTTTTTTTGGTTAATCCTCATCTGAGGAGATTTTTTTGTTGTTGTTGTTAATCTTCTCCTCAGATGAGAACTATATATATATAGTTTAGTCCTCATCTGAGAATATTTTTTCCGTTGCTATTCAGAGACAGTAGAAGGGGGGAGGGAGAGGGAAGAGAGAGAGAGAAACATCAATATGAGAGAGACACATCGATTGGTTGCCTCCCGCACGTGCCCCAACTAGGGCCAGGGATTGAACTTGAAACCCAGGTACATTCCCTTGACTGGGAATCAAACTCTTGACTGTTCAGTGCACAGGCTGACAGTCTGACCACTGACCACATGGGCCAGGGCACAAGGATATTTTTTTCCCTTGATTTTTCTAGAGAGAGTGGAAGGGAGTGTGTGGGGGAAGGGAGGGAGGGAGGAAGGGAGGGAGGGAGGGAGGGAGGGAGAGGCAGAGAGAGAGAGAGAGAGAGAGAGAGAGAGAGAGAGAGAGATGTGAAATATACACATCAATTGGTTGCCTCCCACAGGAGCCCTGACCAGGACTGGGGATTGAACCTGCAACCCAGGTACATGCCTTTGACCAGGAATCAAACCCACAACCCTTTGGTGCATAGGCCAATGCTCTACTACTGAGCAACACAACCAGGGCTCCTTTATTTTCTGTTAACATATTTGAAGAAATATAATTCATATTCCATATAGTTTAACTAGGTCTTAGGTTTTTTTTCTTCTAAATAAATATAGTATATCTGTCTACTTTTCATAAGCAAATAAAACTGCAGATGAATTTAGATGAAAAATTTCTAAAAATGAAATCCAACATCATTAAAAATGAATTTATACCATGATTAAGTGGATTTACCCCAGGAATGCAAGGTTGGTTTATTACCTGAAAAACAATTAATGAAATGTATTATACCAATAAAATAAAGAACAGATACCAATGATCATCCCAGTAGATGTAGAAAAAGCATTTGACAAAATTCAACACCATTTTATGATTTTAAAAAACTATAAACTAGGAACAGAAGAGAATTTAACTTGATAAAGAGCATCTGCAAAAAACCCCACAATTGACATATACTTAATGGTAACAGAGTGAATGTTTTTCCTTGTTTTTGTCAGTAACACAGCAAATACAGTATGCTCTCCTCACCTCTTGTAGCTAATATTGTAGTGGAAGTTCTATCCTGAGAAATAAGGCTAGAGAAAGAAACAAAAGGCATCCAGATTGGTACAGAGTAAAACTATCTCTATTTATAGATGATGATCTTACATATAGAAAATCCTAGAATCTACTTAAAAACCATTCAAATTAATAAATACATTTATCAAGTTTGCAGGATATAAGATTAATATGCAATAATCATATTTTATATGAGTGGATGAATAATTCAAAAATGGAAATAAGAAAACTAATACATCAAATGATATTACATACAAAAGGATGGTGTCAAGAGAGGATAAAATACTTAATAATAAATTTAACAAAGAAGTGCAAAACGTGTACTTTATAAGACAGAAAATCATTGTTAAAAGAAATTAAGGAAGACCTAAATAAATAGAAAGACAGCCTATATTCATTCATCAGAAGACTTAAATTAACATTGTTCAAATGGCAATACTAACTCAAATTGATTTAAAAAAATCAATACAAGGCCTATCAGAATCTCAGCTGGCTTCTTTATAGAAATTGACACGATGATATAAAGTTAATGTGCAGTGCAAGAGACTTAGAATAGCCAAAACAATCTTGAAAAAGAAGAACAAAATTAGAGGATTAACAATTCCAAATTTCAAAACTCACTACAAAATTACAACAATCAAGACAATGTAGTACTAACATAAGGAAAGACAATGGTCAATGGAACAGAATCGAGAGTCCAGGAATAAACTCTTATATTTGTGATAAATGATTTTCAAAAAATTGGTGTCAGTACAGTTTAATGGGGAAAGAAGAATTTTTCTAACAAATGGTACTGGGACAACTGAACATCTACATGGAAAAGAATGAAGTTGAATTCCTATCACATACCACATGCAAATATTAACTTAAAATAGATTATAGGCCTGTATATAAATCTTTATGACCTTAGATACATATAGAAAACATAGCAACAAAAGAAAAAAATAAATGAAAAGGACTTCATCAAAACAACTTTTGTGTTGCAAATGATATCAATAAAGTAAAAAGGCATTGCACAGAATGGGAAAAAAAATTTTCAAATCATTTATCTTTTAAGAGAATTGTATCCAGGATATGTATAAAGAATTTTTACAACTTAATAATAACCCAACTGAAAAGGGCAAAAGATCTTGAGACATTTCTTTATAGAAGATACGTAAATGGCCAATAAGCTCATGAAAAGCTGCTCAACATCATTAATTATCAGAGAAATGCAAATCAAAGCAATACTATTTCACAAACACTAGAGTGGCTACAATGAAAAAACATAACGACAGACAGTAACAGGTGTTGGCAAAGATCTAGAGAATTTGGAACCCTCATACATTGCTAGTGGGAATGTAAAATAGCGAGGCCATTTTGGCAGTTCTTTAAAATGTTAAAAATAGAATTACCATAGAGCCCAGACATTCCACTCCTATCTATTGAAAAGGAATGAAAACATAGGTATGCGCAAAAACTTGTACATAAATGTTCTTAGAGCATTATTTATAACTAGAGGCCCGGTACACAAAATTCATGCACTGGGTGTGGGGGTGGGCGCTCAGCCAGTCCTGTGCCCTCTCACAGTCCAGGAGCCCTCAGAGGATGTCCAACAGGGGGCAGCTCCTGCGTTGAGGATCTGCCCCCTGGTGGTCAGTCACATCATAGCGACCAGTCGTTCTGCCGTTGGGCAGAAACCAGCTCTCCAACATTCCTTGAGGGGTCCCAGATTGCAAGAGGGTGCAGGCCAGGTCGAGGGACCCCATCAGTGCAGTCAGGGCTGGGGAGGGACACGGGAGGTTGGCCAGCCAGGAAGGGACCGCAGGAGGGCTCCACAGCATGTCCAACCCGTGTCGCTCAGTCCCTATCAGCCGGACCCCAGCAGCAAGCTAACCTACCAGTCAGAGCGTCTGCCCAATGGTGGTCAGTGCACACCATAGCAAGCGATTGAGTGGCCTTAGCATATCACTAGCATATTATGCTTTGATTGGTTGAATGGCTGACCAGAGGACCGGACACTTAGCATATTAGGCTCTTTTTATGTAGGATAGCCAGAAAAAGTAAATAATTCAAGTGTCCCTACATCTATGCAAGGAAATATTATTTGGCAATAAATGTAGTAAAGAACTACACCTTCTAAAACATGGATGACTCTTGAAAACATTAGGTTAAGTGAAGGAAACCAGTCACAATAGACCACACACATATTGTATTACTCCATTTGTATGAAATGTCCAGAATAAGACAGATCATAGAAACAGAAGGTAGATTAGGGATTGTTTCAGGCAGATGCTGGGACGGTGGACAGTAGGTGTTTGGGGAGACTGCTAATGGGTACTGGATTTTATTTGTGGATGATGAAAAATTCTAACACTAAAGTGTGCAATTAATCTAATAAAAGACAAACATGCAAATTGACCATACCTTTGCCACACCTTAAGCCATGCCCACCAGCCAATCAGAGTGACTATATGCAAATTAACCCAACCAAGATGGTGGCCGGCAGCCACAGAGCTTGAGCGAGCAGGAGGCATGGTTGCTCCAGTGATGGAGGAAGCCAAGCTTCCCGCCTGCCGTGGCCGGCTCTGAGCTCCACTCAAGGCAACAAAGTTTCAATTATAGAAGATAAACAAACCCCAGATACCTGCTTTCAGCCAGCCGTGGCCACAGAGCTGGAGCGAGCAGGAAGCTTGGGTTGCCCCTGGCGATGGAGGAAGCCAAGCTTCCTGCGTGCCCTGGCCGGCTCTGAGCTCCACTCAATGCTTCAAGGTTTCAATTATAGAAGGTAAATAAATCTCAGAATTAAAAAAAAAAAAAAAAGGAGAGCTGGGAGCTTATGTCACCAGGGGGCTTGACCAGCCTGAAAACAGCCCTCAGCCCCTCACCCAGGCTGGTCAGGCACCCCAGTGGGGACCCCCACCCTGAAGGGGTGTGACCAGCTGCAAACAGCCATCAGCCCCTCACCCAGGCTGCCAGCACCCCAGCGACCTCACCCTGATCGGGGCACCTTCAGGCAACACCAGCCAGCTCTTATCTATGCACTCAGGCCTCTATTTCTATGGTAATAAAAGGGAATATGCTAAACTTGACCTCTAATAGTAGAACGACTGGGAATTGACTGGTCACTATGAAACACTACTGACAGCCAGGGGGCAGAACCTCTATGATGAAGCTGTTCTCTGTTGGGTCAGGTGCCTCTCCACGGGGGGGACCTCT